TGATGTGCTACACACCTATTAATGACTGTCCGGCTATTAGGTGTCTGTTTGATCCCCGATGGCCCATTAATGCCAGTTTAGCCTATAGACGGAACTTGTCCTATCCTGCAAGATGTGTCAAGTCACACAACACTGAGATCTTCTTGTAAATATCTGCATGTATAATGATTTGTAGCGTAATAACACGTTAAATGATTTGTAGCGTAATAACACGTTTGTGGGCCAAAACGGAAGAACACAAAATGCAGCATAGCCTATTTGTGTAATTCATAGCCTAGGTCTATCTGGGCCTAGACGCAGGGGGTTAGATTAAATATTTATTTGATTTTCAGACTTCCAAAGTAATTTGTTAAAGAAAAATTTGGACTCAGTTACACAAGGCGTAGCCTATGACATGGCAGGTAAAGCAATCACACTTTTCTGGTACTTTGTCTGCGGCACATCCTCTCCTCCACAGCTCGCTGCCTCCTGGTGCGCAGCAGATGTAAAAAGACAGTGTGTGGATCCTGGAAGTGTATTGAAGAAGCTGCCGGAGTGTGGGGCTTCAGTCAGCTAATGTGTCAAGGTGACAAATCGCTTGCGTTTCCACCGATCGAGACATCAAAACACCGGATAACGCACAGTCCAATGCACAGCCAGTTCCCAGGCTAGTGTCAGACTCACAGTGTATGGGACCATTACAAACTGAATTTAAATTTTCAAACCTTGGGCAGGCTCAGAGAGATAAAACCTAAGACTGGCTTAAAAATATTTTAGGTTACATTAATGCATCCAAATGGTGTTTTGTTTTTAAATGTTATTTCAAACAAAGACACTAACATGTCATACATTTTGTCAATAGATATTCTCTCTTGTGGTAGATCTTTTCCCATGAAAAGCACGTGATGTAAGAAATGATTTGAAGACATGAAGGGTCACTGAAGATGAGACACTAACCCTGGTGATTGGCACAAATGAGCAGTGAAGTATTCCACTTTGACTCCTACTCCCATGAACAATGGCTCGTGTACGATCATAACTCAAACTGCTGGCTGTCACATGACTTACATCGAGACAACAATATAGGCTATCGATTCCAAAACTAGATGGGCTGTCGAAACTGGTTCACATGCTAGTTAACACCGGTGACATCAGTGACCCCGGACACTTAACAGTTTGATTATGTCAAACAGAAATGTTTTATCGTTTATATCGCTTGTTTATAGCCTCAAACCTGAGTGTGTAAACACCTCTGTGGCAATTTGGTATTTTAAAGCGCCTGATCTATTATTTGTCGCAGCCTATAGCCTACTTTTTTATTCTACAGGCATGTATAAAGTCAATAATCGACAGTGTTTGTTGCTCTAGAGGCACAAGCAAAGTGAGAGATGAAAAGAGGCCACTAGGTTGCAGCATTAGACCTTCCCTCTTTGATTTATTTTATAAACCTGTTGTAAACATTTGTTTTATTTCCCTTCCAAGGTTTCTAAAATATGAAAACAGTTTATGTAGCCTTACTTTTGCTATAGACAACATTTTATGTTCTGAATATGCACATTGTATTTGAATGGTGGGCCCCCCAATATTATACAAGGTACATGGTTGTTAATTTGTCATTATACACAAGGTGGTCTTAAGAAAAAAAAAGTTTGAAGTCCCTTCAGGCTACATGCACAGAACTTAACAGAAAGTCAAATGTTAAAATTTGGTAACATTTAAAATAAATAAAAGAAAACAATAGAGTTATATACAGGCACATATACACACAGAGATAATGAATGTATATTAATATGATAGGCCTACACAAGTACAGAATGGTAAAGCTGGATATACAGACAGGTGACAACACAAATAAAATAACAACATAACAAGTGAAGATGCTTTCTACACTAGCTTCAGTGACCAGATCTCTGCAAAACTGAACGATCATCAAGACACCAAATGAGGGAATATGTGTGTGAATGCTTAGAGACTTGGAGAATCTAGGACAAGGAGCAGTGGAACTGTTTTGAAGGCTCTTGTTGTCCGAACACTTAAGAGTGTTGTGTTGTGTTTTTTCCTGTAGTTTGTCACCCATCTATTTGTGTGGCATGGTGTCTAAACACAACAAGCTGCCATTTTCACTTACTGTTTGTTTAAGGATTAATATGCATTTCTTTGCTACATTAGAACCAGTGTTTGGTTTATGAAATACTTTTTTTAGTTGAGTTTGAATGAGATTATTGATATATTTTATTAAAATGTCAGGGGTCAAATCACAAATAGAGTAAATGACCTCTTTTGGACATCACTTTTCTTCTCACATGTTTCTTGTTCATCTTATTTTTTAGTCTCTGGCCTGCTCTGCAGCCCAATCTGTATTCCTGACCTCTCCAAAAAAAATAGAAAAAAACTCACAATACACAAACTGTCTTCCTCTCTGTGTGTCTGAATGATTCAGTTTGTACCTCCCAAACTCAGGTGTGCACACAGACAAACGCTGGTCTTCTGTGTCCACACCCCTCTCAAGAAATCAGGATTGACACTTAGGTGTGAATGACGCTGTGCCCTCCTCTCCCTCACCTACATCCTCGCTTCCTTCCCTCACAATACACAAACACCATTCCTCAGCCTGCTGTTTGATGTGGAAACTCCATCCACATTTCCTGTCAACCTGAGAGATTTTTGGGCCTAATCCATGTGCTGCATGGCTGAGGCAAGGGGGTTACTCCTAGCCCCATGTGCCGCACTGTTAAAGCTTTTCTGAATCTTGAGAAATAGAAGCTAAGTGTGATTCCAGCTCGGCTGTGGATAAAAGAACATCAGACTCTGTAGGGAAGGAAGGGAAAGCAGGAGAAATGATTTATTGCAGCTATAGTTACAAACTAAATAGATGTTACGCCCCAGGAGGAATGTTGAGGGGAATATACTAAAACATTCAGCAGCATTTAACAGTACTGCGGTCTAGCAGGTCGGGGTGGCTTCAACTGGATTAGGGATTAAAGCACAGAAAGAAGGAGTGCAGAGCAGAAAGCCCATGAAGAAGAATTTTAGGCCAAGTCATTGGTTGTTCAAATTAATTAATTGCACAAAACGTAACAAAAAACATTTTAAATGAAAAGGTTCCCAGCTGAAACACCTGGTTGACTCTTTTGATACTGATAGCCATCAGAAAAGTTGTCACTGCCAGTTTACTTTAAATATAATGCTGTCTCATTCAAAACTTTGAAGACTAAATCCATTACAGTAACTTCCAGTGTTTAAATTCAAATGATCAAGGAGGGGAAGACATGAACTTGCCATGTAATAATAAAGTTTTAATAAACATTTTACTGTGAGTTTGATGATATTTAAACAAACATTTTATAAATACTTTAAAGCCTGGAGGTAGAACAGTTGACCAGACTGAAAACTTGCACAACTCAAAGAGACCAGACTCAGATCAGCTTGTTTCTATTCCCTAATCTAATTCTCAAATTGAGATTTGTATACTGTTTGTGTTGTGGCATTTTTGTTGTATTTTTTTGTTGAGCTGTTTGTATTTTTATAAAAGCCCATCTATGGACATGTTCTGCAAACTGTCACAGGCTATATACTATATTATGTTGTACATGGCACTGTTCAACTCTATTTACCTCATTTAAAAACAAATGAATAAACCACTCTTGACTGATTTTAGCGTCGCTTCTCAGGGACTTGGACCAGGCTGTACAGATGACGGGATCTCACTCCTTAACAAGAACATAATTCTAGGATTTCCAGGAAAATCAGACTGGATCATTATGTCAGAGAGGATCACACGGTGCTGAGATTTAAAGCTCAAGTGTGACAGCTGGCATCTGAAAAAAGAGGAATCCATCTGCAACAGAAATCTGAAAAAAAACAGTATGTTATATAATCATGATTATGATATTATTATAGCCCACACAGCATTATGTAGCACCAAAAATGGTTCTTAAAATTGACATGAATATTTATTGCCACTTTTTAAAAACTATTTATGTTGAAGTTAGAGGGCTCTTTGGGTCACAGTATAGTTTGTTAGGGAACTGTTTGGGAACCCTTGCTGTCACAGTCTTAACAGAAAACCCAGGATGAATACTCTTGCTTCTGGTTGCAAGTTAAACCTTTTTGGTGCATCAATTTAGTTTGTGTTCAGCAGCCTTTGCCTCCAAACATGGCTCAGATATGTGACACAAACAATAAACACTAAGGGTATACATCTATGTTGGCAGCTCTGTCAACGTGTACCTGGGCACAGCAGCGCTTTTAGCTAAATGCTAATGTCAACATGCTCAGTGACAATGCTAATGTGCTAATATGCTTCATAATAGGCTATATTGTTTACCATGCTCAACCTTACAGTTTGATTTTAGCATGTTAGCATGCTAACATTTGTTAATGAGCACTAAACTCAAAGTAGCCTGGAAATGATGTAGCCTAATTAGTTTTACAGGTAGCCTATTTTAGTATCCGAATCAGGTTTATTGGCCAAGGATGTGACATAGGCTTCAAACATAAACATACTGTACAACTATTAGGCTATATATATTTGGAAAAACTATATAAATAATTATAATTTGTAGGTACACAATAATAACAATAACCTTTAAATGCATTGCACTTATCCAAACAAAGTGCTTTACAGAGACACAGAGAGAAAGTGGAACTAAAATACCACAGGAAATGATAAAACATATGAGGGGAAAAAATTAAAATAATAAATAATAACAAGAAAACAAAAAGATTGTAAGAAAATAAGCAGGATAAAAATAAAAAAACATTAAAATAAGCAGGGGGCTCAGATGAATCAGGATTATGCTTTGTGATAAAGTGGATGTTTAGAGGGAAAAGTCATCATTAACGAGCAAGTCAAGACACTTCAAGGAAAGAAGAAAAGCTGAATGATAGGATTCATCCTCTGGGGACCAGGCATGTCTGTACAAAATATCATGGCAGTTCATTTGGTAGATGTAGGTCTACAGATTTTTCAGTATTAGTAGTGCCACACATACAGCCATGGCGCTTCCAGCGGCTAAAAGCTTATCGTTTTTAGGTCCCGCCCCTGTGGGGGTGGGACCTAACGGGGAGGAAGAGCTGTGTTTCTCTGCCGCTATCTTCACTCAGCTGCTCCACGTCTCCCCATCATCACCGAGGGGGATCTCAAATTACCCGCAAGTGAAATTATCCAGGTAGGATTTCAACAAAACCTCTGCAATGTTTGCTCTCTGTCCGTTTACGACCGTTGATCTAACGTCCAACAAAGGAGCGACCAACGCAAATGAGGAAATGTCGAGAAACGAACCGATAAAAGACATTTGTAAAGAAAAATAACCCTGTAGGTTATGCGATTAACAATCCATTGTATGAAAACCGTAACGTTAGACTCGTTTCATTTAGTTACTAATTGTCTGCTAACAAAAGTTACTGTAGTGGATGATATACTAGATGTTACGGTTTGTTGTGTATGTGTGAAGCTGTCACTGTGTAACGTTAGCACCTTCAAGGTTTCCTATTACAGTCCTACAACACGCTCATATTAACGTTACAACCACAACACGCTCACAAACACAGCACAGACAGCGGGCGGGAGGGTCATTTGACCAGATCAACAAAGAGAGGTCACTGGGTGAACTGGTTTGCTTCAAACATTGCACCCAGTGCTTTAACTGCATTTCTTAAAAAGTACTGTACTTTGGCGGTGGCGGAATAACTAATCAGACTACTAAACTTAACAGAACCACAATGTAAATATACTGAGTAAAAGTAGCTACTCCCACAGTGTAAACAGACAATAACAAGTACAAGCCCTGCAGTGATACTTGAGCAGAAAAATGTCTGTGACTGCTACAATGTATTATGTCATTAGATTATTATTACTCAAGCACTCCTATAAAAGCAGGATCTTACTTTATAGTTGGTTGAGCTCATTTTCTAACTCTTTTGCAATAGGACTGCAACTAATCATTTTATATAATATATTATTTATTCTGGATCAATCTGCTCATTATTTTCTACGTAAATTGATTGATTGTTTAAAAATAGTGAGAAATGTTGTCACTATTAGGCTACCCAGAGCCCAAATGACACCATCACAACGGTGTAAGACAATAATAGAAAATTTCTAAATTACTGAAAATAAATTACAATGATTAAAATAAGTTTGACTTAAAATATTATCAGAATAGTTGCTAACTAACTTTCTGTCAATCTGCTAATTGGTTAATCGACTAACTGTTTCAGCTGTACTTGCTTATAATGATGGATAGTTTAATTTATAACAGAACATATAAGCTATTTGTATGTTTTGTTGGAAAAAAAACAGTTTGTAAAGTAACTTAGGCTGTCAAGTTGGTAGGGTTGCACGATATTGACAAAATGTGATATTGTGATATTGCAACTTAACCACAGTGTTTGAGTAAACGTACTTAACTATTTTCCTCCACTGTACTTTTGCATCAAAAGGCAGAATGCCAATCATTAATATAAATACAGGACAGTATTATAACCCATTGAATGGGTTATAATACTGTATTTATATTATTCTCTGTCATTTATGAATAGTTATAACCTTACTCTGTATGCAAAAAACCCCAACATTTAACCACTTTTTATTATTCTCCATGTTTATGCTTGAAAACCGCCAAAAACGATTGATTATCAAAATAGTTTCCGATTATTTTCCTGATGATCGATTAATCGCTTCAGCAACTGATTTGCTTCACAGTCAAAGTTTTCAAATTACAATGGCAGCCATTGCCGTTAAACATGCATCAGGAAATGTTGGCGCCATTTCAATTTTTCTTTTAAATAGTGTGTCTTTGTTTACTGGCTTCTGGCCCAGCTGGATGAGTTCCTCAAAACAAGAATTACTACAAAAAGCTAAAGAAATAAAACTTTTACATCAAGTTTGTTTTTGGTCATTACCCATACTATTTCCTGAACAACAACTTATGGATATAGTCAGAGGCACATTATAAAACTATCAGACTATCATTTTCTGCCCCCCCCCCCCCCCCCCCCCCCCCCCCCAGAATGTCCCGGGAGCAGCAGGCGGTGGCTCGTGCCAGGAAAGCTTTTGAAACCGGCAGGTCCAAATGTTTAGAGCACCGGATCCGCCAGCTAAAGAACCTGCAGAGGTTATTCACTGAGAAACAGAAAGAGATTTCAGATGCCATCAAGAAAGACCTCAATAAGGTGAGTAGTGACTGGCTCTTCCTAGTCTCCAACAAGCTTGACAGTCAGGGTCTGTTCTCTGACAAAACAAAGACTAGGAATAAAACAAGTCTTTTGGTTCAGACTTTCTTTGTGCAAATTAGACACATGCTCTAAACACTAAACTACAGCCTATTAGCTCCTAGTCTTTCCAATGCTACATGCTGTGTATAGTGTCTATTACAGGTTTTCAAGATTTAATCTACACAATGCAAGGTTCAGACTTTGTTAGGGAGATAACTATAATGTCCACTGTTGTCCCTGATGTTCACAAAGTTAACTGGCATTCAATGTCTAACAATAAGATATGTTAGAAGCAGGATGGTGATGGCGCACAAGACACATACCTTTGGTGTGAGGAAACCTGGGTTCAGTTCCCCACTGTGACACGTCCACCAATGTGTTCCTGAGCAAGACACTTAACCCCTAGTTGCTCCAGAGCGTGCGACCTCTGACATATATAGCAATTGTAAGTAGCTTTGGATAAGCGTCAGTTAAATTAATAAATGTAAAATAATCTTATCAGAAAGTATCACAGAGAAAGTAAATCACATCACATAAAAGACAATGAAACAATGAAGTTAATGATAAATAAGCAAATATTAATGAATTAGAAGGTTAATTATTAAACATATTAAAGCAGGAGTGTGGAACTTTTACATATAAGTGAATGCCCATATTAATCCAGCTCCAAATGTATCATGGCCGTATAAATCTCTGTATTTCGCAGTATGACGGAGATTTTAAATCTGTTGTCTGCGCTGGCAATGTGTAGTGATGTGTTTAATGCCAACAAGCAGTGATTAATTTGCCAGGGGCAACACAGAGCCATGGAGAAAGCTCCACGATCTGCCATGGCTGAAAATAAAAAAAAGATACTTTGGAGAGAACGTTTACTATACTGAGAATTATTTAGTTTGTTTATTCTGTCATGTCAATAAAGCCACTTGAATTCAATTTGAATAGAGATGACGCATCTCTCTCTCTACATGGCTCTGGAGTAACCGTTGTGACGGAGTAGGCTACAGCAAACTTGAAGTATGGCAGAGCCTGTGGCGGGAAGAACTTAAGAAGTGTCCAAGAAAAGCTTCTGATGCTCCAGATAAAAAAGAAACTCTTTTGATTAGAGGAAGGATTACAGTCAAAAAAGAAATCAATTGATGGCAAGGACAAATAAAGATAGCTATTGGTGTGGCTTTGTAATACTGGATTATTGTCTTGGAACTGTGGAAATGTCTGTATTTATATCTAACTATTTCTCAACACGGGCCTGGGGTTAGCTCACCTGAATGCAGACATTATAAGCACGAGTCAAAAATGTTACTCTCACTGCCAGAAGGGGAGACAGAAGTTCTACACTGCAGGTTTAAAGAATTAAAACTTTCTTGGGTTTGCAAGAAAAACTGTAAGCAAGACCAATGTCATTGTGTTTATCCTCAGAGCGAGGTGGGGACCCAGCTGTACGAGACTCTGGGTCTGGAGGGGGAGATCAGCCTGGCCATCAGGAAGCTGAAGGAGTGGGCAGCCCCACGGTCCGTTGAGAAGAACCTGCTGACCCTCTCCGACACCGTCTACATCAAGCCAGAGCCGCTGGGAGTGGTGCTTATCATCGGGGCCTGGAACTACCCCTGGGCTGTCACCATCCAGCCGCTCGTTGGAGCCATCGCCTCTGGTACTGTGACATGTTCTGTGTATGTGTGTGTGGGGTGGGTGAAAGGGCAGCAAGTGTGTGATGTAACAAGGTCAGTGTTCACATATCTATCAGATTTCATCATCATTCCCCCCCCCCGTGATGAACTTTGAGAAGGGATCTGTCTGCACAATATCTCAGACGCCACTGGTTGAATTTTGAAACACTGCTCAGGATTTGTTCCCTTTGTCCTCTCAAGGAATTTCAAAATGACACAAAAGAGCATAATGGGTCACAATGTTTAGAACCACACTGTCTGCTGATCAATCAACATGTAGAAACCACTGACACTCTCATTTTCGGAGGCAGTGTGTATTTTGTAAGTCCTGTTCAGTTTCCTTGTCATGTGATCATAACCACTCCAGTTCCTTTTTTTTATCCTGGCAGGACCAAACATTCTTTACACAGTTTGTGATTAAAGGGTCAAAGGCTACCCTGTACTGCAGTCATGAGAGAATTATTAGATTAGCAATATCCTCTAATTTGTATGTAGTTGTCACATGCAGGTGATCTTTGTCGTAGAAGTTGTATATTACTGTTGAAGGATTAAGCAAATAATTGAGTAACAACCAACCGTTGTCTTTAAAGAAGTTATTAATAAAAAGAGAATGACAGAGAAGTAATAATAATAATAATCTTTATTTGTAGAGCACTTTTCAAAAACAAGTTACAAAGTGCTTTAACAAGTGTAAAGACAATAATACCCAAAAGACAATAATACAAAAACAATACAAGATAAAAGCATGAAAAGACTAAAATACACGTTTAAGATAAATATAAAATTAGTAAAATACAATAAAATAAAAGGGATAAAATAAAGTCAAATAAGATCGTTTAAAGGCTCTCCTATAAAAGTATTTTTTAGTTTTAAGAAGGGACTTAAAAGAGTTCACTGACTCAGCTGACCTGATTTCCTCGGGCAGGCTGTTCCAGAGCCTCGGGGCCCTGACAGCAAACGCTTTGTCCCCTTTAGTTTTCAGTCGAGACTCTGGAACAGACAACAGACCTCTGCCCGAGGATCTCAAGGTACGTGCTGGTGTGTATGGGACTAAAAGTTCAGAAATATAACAAGGCGAGAGGCCATGAAGAGCTTTAAAAGTGATCAATAGAATTTTAAAGTCAATTCTAAAACATACTGGGAGCCAGTGTAGTGAAGCTAAAATAGGAGTAATGTGGTCATATTTCTTTGTTCTGGTTAAAAGCCTGGCAGCTGAGTTCTGGACAGTCTGGAGTCGATCAATAGATTTTTGGGTTAAACAGGTGAAAAGGCTGTTGCAATAATCCAGGCGTGATGAGATGAAGGCGTGTAAAATGGTCTCGGTGTCCTTAAAAGTTAACATAGATCGAATTTTTGCTATATTTGTATAAGTTGATAAAAACATGATTGAACAAGCTTTGTGGTGTGCTGCTCGAAATTTAAATTACTATCAAACCAAACACCAAGGTTCTTTGCCACAGGCTTAATGTGATTTACTAGGGAACCAGCAGATGGCAGTATTTGTTTTGCCATCTGCTGGGACCCGATGACCAGGATTTCTGTTCAGCTGGAGGAAATTATTTGACATCCATTTTTTAACTTCACAAAGGCAGTTGTTAAGTGAACTCAGCATTCCAGGGTCTGTGGATCTGACGGGCAAGTATATTTGTGTGTCATCAGCATAAATATGAAAAGAAATGCCATGTTTATGGATAATATGTCCAAGGGGAAGCAGATACAAGGAAAACAAAATGGGTCCTAAGACCGACCCCTGAGGTACACCATATTTAACTGGACAGAATGAGGAGACATAGTTGTTTACAGACACGCAAAACTTCTTATTTGACAGGTAGGATGAAAACCATTCTAGGGCAGTACCAGAGATCTCCACCCAGTGCCTCAGTCTGTCTAACATGATGTTGTGGTCAATGGTGTCAAAAGCAGCGCTAAGGTAAAGGAGTACCAGGACTGAGCACATACCTTCATCAGCAGACATTAAAAGGTCTCTTTCTAGAATCTTTGCAATAAAAGGCAGTTTTGAAATTGGTCTAAAATTATGCGGGAGGGAGGGATCTAAACCAGGTTTCTTTAAAAGTGGGTTCACGCAAGCCATTTTAAAATAATCAGGGACACAACCAGTAGATAGGGAGCTGTTGAAAACAGAGATCAAATGGGGCCCAACAGAATCCATTACTTTCAGTAAAAACTTACTTACCTACTCCAATAGAAAATCAGCTGGTCCAGAGACCTTTGGCCCAGAGCAAAGGGATGCATACACAGTTCATTTACACAGTATATAACGACAATTTTCTGCCATTATTTTTATTTTTATGCATGCATGTTGGCATGTTTGACTTATGAACATAGATGTCTCAACTCTGCATTGTAGCCATCAGTGATAGCTCAAACGACAAGTTAAAAGCCCTGAGCTCCAAGACAATGAGTGAATTCATGAATAATTCACTTCTGTCTCAAAAGCTTCCTGTAAATGGGCGGCCTGCGCTTGTATAGAGGCTCTGAATCAAGTGTTTGTGATGCAAATCTCAATGTGTGTTTGTTTGTAACTGTTTAGCGTGACACTGTAGTAATTTTAACAGTCTTTTGTCTGATTCTTTTTTTGCTTGACTGTTTTGTTTGCGACTTGCCCCTAGTGATAGTTTTACTTAGTAGTGCTACGAGAGCTGCTGCAGGTAGACAGGATAGGATAAAACGTGTTTAGACTCAAACACTGAAGGCTGGAGGACATAAATTTAGTGTTTGCACCGCAAGGACTTTGCTCCGGGATTATCAGATCTTTCACCAACAGTCATATCAGCCTTGCAGGTCACAGGTCTTTTCTTTGTTTGCTGAGTGATGCATGCTACAAATGATCAAAATAAAAGTTTAAGTCAAAGGCAGCTGCTACACCATACCCAGACAAAATTATTTAATTTAAATATTTGTCATTAACAACACTACTAAAGTACCATGAATGCCTAAGCTTTTGTTATTTGTTTACAGATTATTATTTATAGATGAGACCTCGCCACTCCCATGAATATGAATACATTTCATATCAAATTTGTGCAAATTTGAGCAAACTGGACAAACAGCATCAAAGACTATGAAGGATTTGAAACACATTTTTTAACATAATTCTACAGAGTATATAATACTTTTTTTTGTACTTTGTGGACCATGGCTTTTTGTCTTGTAATATCTGCTGCATTTGTCATTGACTTATCCAGGTAATGCTGCTGTGGTCAAGCCCTCGGAGGTTTGTGTTCACACTGCAAAGGTCATGGAGGACCTGCTGCCACTTTACATCGACAAAGTAAGGATGGGTCTCATGACATCTACATACGTATCAGTGAAACAAGACACTGTTGTTATTCATGAAATGTAGGAATGTTGTTTTTTAAGCAGACAATACAGCCCTACAAAGGCAGAGTGCAGGAACTACAGAAGCAATGAGTGGAGAGAAAAGGATTTTCAGGCAGAGCGTCAAACTCTTAACACAGATAGAAAGCTGGTAATAAGTTTTATGATTAGTTTACCTCCAAAAAGCACAACCATAGAACCCACACAATACCTAAAAAATGCTGATTATCTTAATTAGACAAACTGCAGGATCCATAGCGCATAGGACTATAGCCGTTTGTATTCAGTGCTGTGAGGACCAATGTACACTGCATGCAGGGCTAGTGGTGCAATGGCTAACGCTTCTGTCTACGGATCAGAAGATTGCAGGCTTAACTCCTGGCTAGCTCGTTGTGATCTTTAGCTTATAAATCACTTCATCTTCACAGGCATTATTCTGTGTATCAAAGTGCATTTGATGGAGCCAAATCATAGCCACACTTAGCCTGTCAACATGTGGTATCTCAACTCTTTTGGTCACTCGCAGCAATATTAAGGATACTATTGTATTTAGTGTAACTTGCTAATCATCTTTCTTTGAAAGCAAAATTTGGACATCCAAAGCAGTGCTACGTAAACCATCCATGGAACATGACTATCTTTTGTCACACATCATTCAGGAAACTCTTACAGATAAAATAGTTGTACGTTTGATATTTAGAGCTGAAAATATTCTGTCACTACAAAGAGGAACTCAGCCAGTCAAGTCATATTTTCCAACTTGACCAGTCATTTGACCAGCGTTCCTCACACGTGTCTATGAAGTACAAGTACACAGCCGTTTGTATTCAGTGCTGTGAGGACCAAAGGGCACAGCATGCAGGGCTAGTGGCGCAATGGATAACGCGTCTGACTACGGATCCGAAGATTTCAGCTTCGACTCCTGGCTAGCTTGTTGTGATCTTTAGCGTATAAATCACTTCATCTTCACAGGCAGTATTCTGTGTGTCAAAGTGTATTTGATGGAGCCAAATCATAGCCACACTTAGCCTGTCAACATGTGGTAAAAGGTATCTCGACTCGTACGGTCACTCAGAACAATATTGAGGATACTATTGTATTTAGTGTAACTTGCTAATCATCTTTCTTTGAAAGCAAAATTTGGACATCCAAAGCAGTGCTACGTAAACCATCCATGGAACATGACTATCTTTTGTCACACACCATCAGGAACCTCTTACAGATAAAATAGTTGTGTTTGATATTTAGAGCTGAAACTATCCCCTCACAACAAGGAGCAACTCAGCCAGTCAGGTGGCCATGATGGTATAGTGGTTAGTACTCTGTGTTGTGGCCGCAGCAACCCTGGTTTGAATCTGGCTCACGGCAGCACTTCTCAGCGCTGCTTCTTTTATGTTTTTTTTCTTGAATGTACTCCAGACTCTGCTTCAGTTTACATAGTTTGAAAATGGATACCTCAAGCTAATTTTCCCACATGAGGCCCCATATTTTCCAACTTGACCAGTCATTTGACCAACATGTCTACTTAGTACAAGTCCACAGCCGTTTGTATTCAGTGCTGTGAGGGCCAAAGGGCACAGCATGCAGGGCTAGTGACACAACGGATAACGTATCTGACTACAGTTCAGACGATTCAAGGTTTGACTCCTGGCTAGCTTGTTGTCACCTGTAGCTTGTAAATCACTTAATCTTCATGTGTAATAATCTGTCTAATATATTGTATCATTACATTTACAAGGGAATGGTGCCAATCCTAGATAACTGGCCTCAAAACGTGTGTGAACCCTTTTAGCCACTCAAAGCATTCACGAGACTACTGTTGTATTTAGTGTTACTTGCTAATCATCTTTCAAGGAAGAAAAATATTTGGACATACAAAGCAGTGCTACGTAAACCATCCATGGAACTTGACAGTCTTTTGTCACAGATCATTCAGGAAACCCATACAGATAAAACAGTAGATATTTAGAATATATCCTGTCGTAATTAGTGTTACTTTATAATCATCTTTCTATAAATAAATGTTTTGCTACGTTTCGTCCTTCAAATTGTTGGCAGATTTTTTGGGCTGTGTAGTCCACATTACATTTGCTTTTTTTCTGGTGGCTCCATCTATACTGACGAAAGCATATCAGGCAAAAGCTGTTCACCTTTACTGTAGTATAACTTTACATTGGCCACCATGCATGAAGCCTCATAGTAGGTAAAGTGTCTCGGCTCTGTGCAAATAAAAAGCACTTTGTTTTGTCAAATTTGTTCTGCAGATTTGCTACAAAGCCAAAAAGTAACCAGACAAAATTGTAATAAAAGGCGTGCATGTGCTACAAGACATTTAACATGTTGTTTTGCGATTAACTGAATGTTTCTACCCTGTGTATCAGGAGCTTTACCCTGTAGTAACCGGAGGAGTTTCAGAGACCCAGGAGCTGCTGCGCCAGAGGTTCGATCACATCTTCTACACTGGCAACAGCATGGTTGGCAAATTGATCCTGGAGGCTGCTGCCAAACACCTGACTCCTGTCACCCTGGAGCTGGGTGGCAAGAGTCCCTGCTACATTGACAAAAACTGTGACATAAGCATAGCCTGCAGGTCAGAAGAGTGATTGAATAGGGTTTGGCTTAATGGTTATTTTCTCCACTACTTTTATAGCAATTTATTTCTTTAACACACAATCCATTCTCTCTTATAAAGTAGCTATTCCTTCCTGATACCCTTCTGTTAACTCTTCCACTACTGTGTAGGCGTGTCGCCTGGGGAAAGTACACTAACTGTGGTCAGACCTGCATCGCCCCAGACTACATCCTTTGTGAGCCCAGCATCCAAGACCGGGTCATCAAAGAGGTCAAGAAATCCATTAAGGTACTGAAGACCTGAAAACACACAAAGGAAAAGTTATAATCCATTTATTCCATTGTAAACTTCAGGTAAACAGATGATTCAGGTGAATGTCAGAAAGTCCTGACATCTTCGTGTTAATGTGGAGGAAAACTAGATATAAATAAAATACCACATAAATACAAAATAAATGAATTAGCACGTTTTCTTTTAAAAGAAAGTTAGGAATTTTTTAATTTGTTTCTTTCTTTATGAACATTAAAAAATTAGACCAGACTCTATAAAATGTTCCTTGGTCTTTATTAGTCATTGCAATTAAATATTCAAAATAGGCAATGTCTTTCATTAGTTGTAAACATTCATCAAAAACGGGCTTTGTCTGACTCTGGAACAATCCTTGAAGCACCAATACTGCCAGTGCAAATGTTATACATGGTGAAAGGACAGACCTGTCCAAGCATAACTGGGGAGATCCTGGCAATGATTTACGTAACCACTTTCCAATACTTTTGACTACTTCTTTCCAGAATGGAGAAAATAAAGAATAATCCCACCTCTAACAGTTATTCTTTGCCCAGATTTTATTTAATATTTGTATAGTTATGAGATTGTTTCCTCTGGCAGGAGTTCTATACAGACAACCCAAAGACCTGCCCTGATTACGGGCGCATCATCAACCAGCGCCACTTCAAGAGGATAATGGCCATGTTGGAAGACAGCACCATCGCTGTAGGAGGTGACAATGACGAGTCAGACTGCTACATAGGTAATCCTTCTGACAGCTACGAACTCATCCCATGAAAATCCATCAGGACTTACCTACCTGAGAAATAGAGTTTAGTGTAGGCTTTTTGTATGATTTTCATCCAAGCAACTATTCAAATGTACATACAGTTTGTTAAGCAATGAAGAACAAACTATAAATTATATTTGATAAAATACTGTTTCTGTGTTGTGTTTAGCCCCCACAGTTCTGCGGGACGTGAAGCCAGAGGCAAAGGTGATGCAGGAAGAGATATTTGGACCTCTGCTTCCCATCTTGCCCGTCAGTGGCCTGGACGAGGCCATAAAGTTTATAAATAAGGGAGAGAAACCTCTGGCTCTCTACGTCTTCACATCAGATAACAAGGTATTTAACAACAGACACTGCACACATGCAGGCACACAGCAGAGTATTTAACAGACGCTACATGCTTCGTATGTAGATTCATAATCATGGGTATAACATAACTCTTTTCTCTGAAGGTGATCACGAGAATGTCAGACGAGACCTCCAGTGGAGGATTGCTGGCCAATGACTGTCTTGTGCACTTTTCTGTCAGCTCTCTGCCTTTCGGAGGAGTGGGTGAGTACACACAGGGAAATGGTACTAGAGTTCACTTACTCTCTCTTTTGCTTATTCACTCATTGGTGAACGTGCCTGTTCACTCACTCAGTACTCCACTCAATGGCAAGCAGACGCTCTAAAGTGGCAGGTGTGCAAATGAGTAAATGGGCACGTCTTACTTAGCAAAGTGAAGGGTTACCTAGGCCACGCAGAGCGGCATAATGGTGCCCTCTAGTGTGACATTATGGCAAAAAAAATTTCAGGCTGATACTTTTCTACTAGAAACGGTTTACAAGCTTTAATGTTGAAAAAACACATAATTTTCCTCTTACTGTTCAATGCTTCTGCACCTCTGTTCACCCTCTGACCACACTGTTTAAGCTCCTGTCTCTTTAAGGACTCTCTCTCTCTCTAAAAGCCCGGACTGAAAGCTTGGTCTGTAGGTGTTTCCACCTGTAAAGTTAGTACAGAAGCTTTGGACCACTGGATTAGGCAGAGCCAACTGATGTAGCGTTAGCAACAAGCTATCTGTCCATCAGGAAATAATAAATATAAATATTTACCTTTCCTTTGTAAAAGCACTTTCCACGAGACTGAAAACCTCCAGCTCTAGTTCTATAGAATGACCACTTGGTGTTGTGTCGGACAGTGAATGGTCCGTGTATGGTTCGTTCTTTCATTATTTCGCTGCAAACCCGAATGGGAAAAACCCCAAAAAACAAGTTGTTTTTTGGTTTTTACATTTTAAAACCAAAACGGAAAAACAGATAAACAGGAAACAAAAACACAGACATCGATTTTTGTTTTTCTGTTTTAAAAAATATTGATTTTTATATTTAATGAGTTCGGTTTGTGTAGCTTTTTGTGTTACACTTAAATAAACCTGCAGCAGATACACTTAGGTGATGGCGTAGCTGATTAAATGTAATTAAGATGAGCTTGAGCATCAACATAGGTGGGCCTTATATAAAATTAAATATAAAAATATGTAGCCTAATAATGACTTTTTGTTTCATAGGATACACGAACACAAGTCTCCTGATTCAAAGGTCCTGGCCCTCCTTTCACCCCAACCAAGTTCTAACTCAGTCTTTTCTGTTAAATATCATATACCTGCCTTTACTGTCACTGAATGAACCATACATGGATTATGGTGGGTCAGAGAGCGGTGTACGTGTTCAGTGGGCAATTCCGTCTACTGCGTTGAAGGGCTAGAGGGGATCCTATGCTACTCAGATCACTCTATGATGTCAAGAAGGGAAAATTCAAATTCAAATAGAGTGCTTGCACACACATTTACTGTACCGAGCAGAAAATCTTTTTTTTCTTTAGCACACCAAGGACACATATTTAGTTTGAAAAAACATGATAAAGGATTTTGTAAAATATGGGACCTTTAAGTCTCCATTAGGGCACAAATATATCTGGTTAAATAAAGGTTTCAGAAATGCACACTTCCCTGTGCACATACAACAAAATTCTCTAAAAGACAAGACAATTTGCTTTATTGTTTTAAAGCCCAATAAATACATATATACAGTGAACCACTGAGAAACTATTATATAAAGAAAACTTTTAAACACGCCCACTGGTTTTCTTTCACTTTCACTGCGCTGAAATATCTTCCTTGTTGATGTGTTCAAGAAAACCCTGACATCAGAGATTTTAGAGCTGATGGTCGAATAAACCCTAGTAACCTCTATAATGCAAGAAACTAGATTTGATCATTCTTTTACTTCTTGTCTGCTGATTTCCTGATATTCTAGCTCATGAAGCACTATTTTTTGGCAGCTTACCCTCAAAAATTGGATCCCACAGTCTGTGCTTTCAAATGTTTTTATTGCTCAAGTGACATTAAAGCCATCAAGCTAGAGGCCAATACATCAAACCATCTCTCTCTGTTTTCATGTACAGGAAACAGTGGTATGGGTTGCTACCACGGCAAGTTCAGCTTCGACCAACTGAGCCACCTGCGCAGTTGTCTCATCAAACAGCTGAAAATGGAAGGAGTGAACAGCATGAGGTACCCGCCTCACACACCCAAGAAACTGGGCTGGGCGCGCTTCTTCATCCTGAAAACCGTAGACCTGGGCTGGATTGGCCGGATGGCGCTCTTAGCCATGCTGGCTGTGGTGGCCGCTGTTGTGCTACAGGTGAGTTACAGAGGACAAGAGAAACACCTCTATAAATTGTTGAACATACAATTGTATTGTGGCATTGTGCATCATGGGGAAGCAAAGCTGAAAGCTGAAATGCTAACCACACTGATAGCTTTTTAAGTTGCGAAGAACTGGGAAGCTTTAAATGCCAGTAATCAACAAGTTGTCCATTTTGCTGATGCCAGGTGCTCTTGGTTTAATTAAAGTGGTGGAATGTAAAAGTTAATTTACTCAGCTACTGTAAGTACGGATTTGAGGTACTTTTAGGGCTGGACAATAAAACAATAACAATAAATATTATATAATTTTTTTCAATAACAATATAACAAATGTTCAGTAATTATTTGATTTTATTCACTTGAATCATGAACGAATTAGGACTTAATTGTTTTATTATATATATAAATCCCAATGAATTAGCATCTGAAGACATCTGAAAACAGGGCTGTTTCTCTGAGCTCATGAAAAGTTGACTGAGATACACAGATAGCAACTCTACAAACATATGATGATCTTATAGAATATGATGCATTGCTGTAGATTGAACTACCCCCAGTATATAATGTAGTTAAAATTAGCACACCCATAAACATCTACAGAGGTAAAATTCAACATACTAATATTAATATATTGTTAATGCACCCGTAATATTAATCATATATTATATAAAGATATTAACCTGAAAAAATCATTCATAATAGTAAAATGCTGACTGTAATAATAATGTATGAATAATGTAAGCTGTGTTACCGACCTTTACTGTTGAATGCACAGGAAGAGAGATTATAATTTAAAATAAATTTGTGATAATTTTTTCAGAATTATCTCTGAAGACATCCCGCTGTCTGTCGTGTCGTTGACCCCAAGGAGCACAGAGAAGAGCAGCATGAAAGTCCTACCAATTCATTAACACATTTCTGTATAAATCAGATCAGCTTCTGCACAGCTGTAAAAAAGGGAATGTTTACGGTGTAGCCTTAATCTATTTTACATTTCAATAACGGTGTCAGAAGTTTCATGTAGCTCACTGTAGAAAGCATCTAATTTCATGAAGGTGATAATTTGTTTCTATGTACGGCTCTTACATTTGTGTTCAGCTTTACGTTCCATTGTAACCCGTTAGATTAAATACACTTATCAATGCTGTGATTTTGCAATTAATGATTTTAAATTAAGTAACAAAATATATACAGCTACTTTTCATTTTACTGTTATAAAACGACTTGTAGCATTTGCTAACAAACAATCAATGAAGTTAGTAGAATTTAACCAACCAGAAATTACTTGTCATAATGTTTTATTGTGTAGCAGTGTCCTACAGTTCATTTTGTGTCCATTCTATTTCAATGAGGGATCAGCCATTAACTTGATGTTCAGCCTGAAGGTACTTCTGCCCAGTGTAGGTTAGTTATTTTTTCAGTATGTGCCTGCCTGCTGGCAGCAGAGATGAGGTCTGTCTGTTTGATCAGTCCTCTTTTAGCTCACTGCAGCGTTTCAGAGTCAAACAGGATGTGAAGGATGTTTTTATATGATTTTCCTAAAACACTAAATGCCTGTCACAATTGTGTGGTAGAAATGTATGTAAATGAAGGAATGTTTAATTTTTGCGTAGAGATGCCCTCACTGTGAGGGATCTTATCAATAACCTCCAGGCTCCAGGGTGCCTGGAGGTATCGATAAAATGGCAACCTCGTTGATGTGTCTGCCGCCTGTCTGGTGAATCTGTATGAGGTAGGGCATACTATATAAAACTGGGCTAATGTAATATTATTTGGTATTTGACTGTGTCCATGCATACAAGCTGTACCAAGATCTTCTCTGATATCAGACTTGTGTTGGTATAAACCTAGATATTGAAGAAAGGACAACTGAGGCTCATCGAATTTAATTTTCTTTTCATCAAAGTGAAGACTGACCAAGAAGTACAACATCAAAAATTAAGCAATAATGTTTTTGTTTTTTGTCATCATACCTTAAAAATGTTAAGGGATTTGTAATGAATAGTTTTAATAAATACACATGTATTTCTATATTGAATTAATATTCAAATAAATATATTTCTACATGTTTCAGTTTGTAATTTGATTATTTAATTTCCATTATTTATTATGACAATATATATTATTATGTTGTATTTGGTTTCCAAACATTCTGCTAATTGTTGCCTTTCATAGGTTAGTTTTCATTTGTGTATAATCACCTGAAAATTAGAATGAGATGTTCTTATCTAGAGAGGGAGCTGCTTCTTTCTTCTTTTCTTCCGTGAAAGTGCGCTGTGCTTTGAAACCAATTTGACATCATTGCCCAGTAGTGTACTTACAACTTGGTCCAATGATACAAAAAAATGTTTTCCCAAAAACTTACATCATGAAAGAAGAGGCTGTAAAAGGGTCACAAAAGAGTCACAACTCTAAATGGGACCATAATTTACCATCTTTACATCAGGCTGTATTGAAGAAGACTAGCGATGAAGACCATAGCTTCAGTAGGAGGGGTGAGAAGTAGGGTAATTTTTTTCTGCACAATCAAACTTTTTGGTAACCAGAGGAGTCGTCTCCTGCTGGCCACTAGAAAGAATGCAGGTTTAAGATACATTAGCTTCACTTTTTAGACATGGACATAAATAAATAATCCAGGAAGTTATCTCTGGGGCAGTGTCGTATAGTAAAGTGGGTGTGTTGTATAGCCAGCGAGACTTTAAATAGACCCTCTTGGGTCCTCTTCTTCAGAATCTATAGCAGCCCAAAACAGACAAACCAAACATTGGCTCTTCGTAGAGCGCGTTTTTCTCTGCCACTGTAGTTTCTCCTACACACTTGGAAAGCAAGCAGCATTCAATTGGTTGCAATCTGCAACTTCACCACTACATGCCACATCCTGCATCCTACACACTTGCCCTTTAATGTACTTCTGTGTTTAATACTAACAGGAAATGATTTGTAAGACTGCAACACTGGAAACAGCACTGACAATTTGAAATTTTAAAAAATAACAAAGAAAAAAAAAACTTCTAAGAGACAGCTTTATTTTTGCTCTCTTTGATGTTCCTGAGCTGTCCACAATTAGTTTTAAGAAAAATGTCCTTTCACAAATGACATTTTCACTTGTTAATTTATAGTAGAACAATAACAGGTGCAACTAATAATAATGTTCTGTTGAAGTGTTCCAGTAAGACGTGAGCCAGCATGCACAATTCCAGGACCCTGAAACTGAAGCAGCTAAAAAGAATTCAGCCATGATGAATTTCATTATTTACAACTGTGTACAATTTTCCTACTGTGACATGTCAAAATGTCTGGCTCAAGTAACATCACTTGGGGCAATTTATCAGCTCCCTCCGGAGCCACTTATGCAGTAGTGCTCCTAACACCTGTAAACATACTTTGATGTGTAAAATAGGTGGAGATCCCTATCCATTTAGTCCTAATAACGCCAACACTACATGCACAACTGTAAGAACCTTGAAAATTAGTTCTGAATGCACACGTGAAATGTATGTGAAATATAACTGCTCAATAAAAGAAAGAATATATATAATATATAACACCACAGTATCTGATTTTGTCACCAGGTGTCTGTCTTTCCTCGTTGACAACTCTCTCTGTGTTACACACACACACACACCTTTTGTCATCGTCTCCTTCCCACCCTCAAATGCAGCTCAGAGTCAGTATGTGAAGGCAGCTGAAATTTTTCTGTCAGGATCTCCTCTGGTTTGTGTGCTGATCATGGATTTTTCTGTCTACCTCCTGACTTTGCTTTCTCTCCTCACTCAGTGCACAGGTAGGACAAACACACACTAACACACACACACTTTCAGTACTAGTACTATTAAAACTGTTTGGGTTCAGTTCGGTCACACATTCTTTTAATTTGTGAGATTATTCTTATTTTAGCTAAAATATAAGAAATATTGAAAGTATTATGGTGTGGCTATTTAAAATATACTGAAGATGTTGTTGCAGAAGTTCATTAAGATAGATCACATCTATCTAACAGAAAGCTAGAGAAACTAAAGGCATTGATTCCCTACCTTGGGTCACTGAGGGGTCACAAGACAATTAAGGGTTGAAAAGCAAACAAAGATATTTTTACTGAGCTTACTTTCAGGACAATTAAAATAAAACAAAAGTATTTTTTGTTGAACTGGTCACAACTGGTAGACACACATAACCAGTGATGGACTGCAACTATCAATTATTTGTCCAATTAAGTATGACCAATGATTAATCTGCTGATTGTTTTCTCAAATAGGACACTATAACTTTTGGTCTATAAAACACCAGAAAACTGTGAAAAATAGCTGTGAATTTGAAAAAAATGTAGAGCTGAATGTGTTCCCAAAACATTTAATTTACAATAGTGAAAAGGACTGTAAAATTTTTGCATGAAACGTTACTTGTAGTTGCTGATTAATTGACTAATCTTTGCAGCTCTAATTTTAAATAGAAATTGCTTTGTTTTAATTCAGTATATTTGGTCACAGTTCACATTGAGTCAAAATAGAAGAGTCAAAAAGTCAGCAAACTGACTCACTTGCCTCAGTTACACAGCAATATCTATCTAACATTTGCTAAAATCTGATAAATTTAGCCACCGCAAGCTACTGGTCACCAGATTAAATAAGTCTATAGCAGAAACACCCTAGAGTGTACTTAATTGGGTTACAGTGTTTTATAATGCTTAAGAGTTCAAATTATAATTTGTAAGAGGAAGAATGTTTAATATATCTGCTTTTAAAACTCAATGTGTCACTTTAAAGGCTGCAAAGGTTGGCAACCATTGATTTCAGTGATTAATTTATCTAAGATGCTCAGTCATTATAAAAAATCATGTAATTATAATGAAAGGAAAACAAAGGAAAGGAATTTAAAAATAAATAAAGCTGGTGGATTTACAGTGGATTGACTTTTCTGTACTTTCTGTACTGCTCAGTTTGCCACAGGTGTATGAGCCAGGTGGAGCAAAGCCAACCTCCACCTGTGCATTGTTCTCAGTTGGTGAGAACTGTTGTCCCCTTTCGAAGAATGGTATTGTGGGAGGCAGCGAGGTTAATCTGTGTTCCTATATTAGCTAAATGGTTCTTTATAGCCCCTTTCATTCCCACCGTAGAGTCAGACACTGGAGTTTCATTCACTTCAGCAATACAATAAGTAACCACAGCACAAGACTAAATGACTTCAGCACCTGTTGGATGGACATAGTTCATGGTGCGGTGCAGAGGCAGTTAAGGAGATGGATAAAGGTTTTCTGAGCCAGTGATCCACTTCACACTGAATTAGTCTGTATCTCTTTATCTACAACTCACTGTGCTTGGTTTAGACTTAATAATTGGAATCAATAAAGGACAATGGCCTTTACATTGACTCATTTAATGAAAGCAGTATAATAAGTTTATTTTAACATGCCATGTAGGTCTATTATGGCAATTTAGCTTCCAGTGTGATCATTGATTTAACAGGCATTATGATCATTGCTGACATCTTTTTTGTGTAAATCAGCATCTGAAGGTTAATGACATTGGCTTTTTGAATGCTAACTGTGAGAAATGAAGAAGTACAGTGGAGTGCCTAATGTTGTATACCAAGAGGCTTATATTATACAAACATTTATCGGTAACAGTTTCTCTCCAATGAGCTGATCCACGTCTAATAATAATAATAAAAACAATAATACATTTTATTTCTATAGTGCTTTTTAGGACTCTCAAAGACAGAAAACACAAGTTATGTACATTTAAAAAAAAAGATTAAATACATAAATAGAAAGATACATGAACCTCTGCCAAGCTTAAAATGTATTAAACTTCTGATGATTTCAATTCCCTTTACTTTTCACTCAGACTCAGTGAAACATATTTTTTGGTGTCTTTTTAGTCACTAGTAAATTTGTTGATTGTGTGAAGAGTTTTGAGATCATTGTTTTGAGCATGCATTTGCTCTTTTGTTAATTAAAACACAAGTTTGGTGTGTTGTGGTCTCAACACTGGGCCTTTTCTATGTACATCAAAGCAATGCAGAAATACACACACATTTTACATTTACATCATTTAATAAAATTCCCACAAAAGAACACATTATAAATAATAGATAGTTTTTGTGCATTTAGCCTATAGTTGCAACAGCTGTTCTATTTAGCTGGATATGCAAGTGCTCTGCTAAATTAAAGCAGTCATTGTGGTCTCCTTTTACCCCTACATGTAAAAAGTGGTCCTCTGTGGAAAACGCTTCCTCCCATTATTAGTATTTTCAGTGTTTGAGTAACACCGAGCTTAGCCCTCTGTCATCATCAACAGCTGGTCAGACGGTCACTGAGTCCTGTGACTGTGAGACATCATTGCTGAAGATTGTGTCATGTTTTGTTAAAGTAAGCGCTATCAAACAATTTATATTTCACTGATGAGCACAGAAAGGGCAACAGGAGGACAGTATTAGTATTAGTAATGTGAGAATCAATTATTATCTTGGCTTTGCTTGCCTTACAAAGACCACAAACTAATTAGCAGATCAGCTAGAAAGATTGCTGACAACACAAATTAACACTGTGGCTAATAGAGTGCAAAAGTTCGTGTCAGAGTTGAAGGTCTGAACTTCCCAGTTGAAATTCCAACTTCTGACCTTCAAGTGTTCCAGGCGCACAACGGGAAACTTGAACAAAAAACATGGCTGACCGTGACACACTGATGTTCCTATGTCAAGTCTACACACAACTGAACTCTCATCAGTGCCCTTGGCAAGGCTGCCAATGCTCACGCATTGGCCATGAGACTAACACAATTGAGACACTTTTCACACACTCTCATGCCACACGTCCATTTTCCCACACAGTGAAAAACTAATTTATTTATTTATCACTAAGTGATAAAGTTGAATAAACTCCACCCAGCTGATACGACACCAGGTTAGATGGTAATCATGTGAACCCAGTCTCGTGCCGTGAGTTACAGACAGTTAAGAGTGGTAAATTTTTTTAAATAAAGCTGTGCCATCAACAGCAAGTGTGATGAATTACCATCTTAAAGTGTAAAAGTTAGAGAGAAGGATTATGTTCCTATATCAACCTTTAAATTTAG